GGTTTTTCTTTATCCACCACTGACTTGAGCTCTGCCATTTTATTTAGTAGGCTGCGAACATTTGTGTAGCATGCTTTTAAGTTTGTGGAGAGCTTTCCCTTGCCACCCAGAAAGGTTTGGGGATCGTTTTGCTCCGAACTTTTACAATTTGAAAACCCTTAAGAACGAGGTTTCTTTCACCGTTTTGGCGACGCTCATTTATTTCAGCTTCTGCAGCTCGTCTCTTAATACTATCAGCCAGGCTGAGATCCTCACGGACATATATTACGGATCCAATGAGTTTACATGAATTACTTAGAATCAGGTTCCTTTCTTCCACCGTGTTGAATGTAACCTTTAGGAGGCGGCTTGTAGTGGCATTGAACAATAGCCACACAATCCACAAAGCTGTGAACACGAGACTACTCAGAAAATAGATATTCAATATTTAACGCGGAGAAATACCTAACGATGGAGAAGGCGCGAACAATGAATTGAATGGACTGAGGTTGATCGGATGGCATGGCTCGGCCATGCAGGCGTGGTCCATCTGAATGTTACTTCATATCTTCTATTCATATTAAATATATTGTTCCTTCTCTAGCCTAACCTTGTTCTACATCATGTATTGGTAATTGATACGATACAGTGAGTTGGTGTAGTCGATGGTGTGACTTCCACGTAAGATCTTATAGATTAGGCAGTTATATCATGACAAATCTACAAATTTAGGATTAGGTCTATTATTAGAGCAGTACTAATATCATAGTAGACCATAATTCTACATTGGTGAGCCCAACTAAAGAAACGCAACCTATTATTGTTAATCCTTATTTCCACCTTAACCTTCTCAATCGATTTTTATTTTTGTAAACCCACTATTCTAATAGTCCTTTGATTAATGGTCACATATATTATCGTAATGTTATATCTATTAGTTCACATAACTTACTAGCTCAATCGATAATAAAAGTTGATCATCTATATCAACTAATTAGCTTTGATGGTTCGTTAACAAGCTTTAATAGCATTTACATGCTTCAGCGACATAGACTTGTTTAAACATCAAGCTCTAGCAAATATGACCTGTTAATAGCGTAAATATACATTGACTAACAATGCAATCAAGGATTGAATAGTTATCTGGATCTAATTATCAGTGTTCCTTCACTTAACACCTCATCCTGTTTTAAACTATGCACTATCCTGTAATATCTTTTCTTCCGACCACTGCCTGCCTAATTTCATATTCTCGAGTTCCATTGCCAAACAACAAGGATGACACTTCTCCAAAAACATACGGTGAGTTCCAGCTATAAGTTTTCTGCAATCATAAAGTCATTTTAGATGGCTCGTTCAATGGCAACCACACAATTATCTGGATTCATTCGATTGTTCTGATCCGAGCGAGTGGCAAAAACGTCAACAGCATCAAGCACCCTGGAATTAATTGCCATACTGCATGTTTTATTCTGGATGCTTTTGGATCATTACTACTCCTCACGAATGTTTTTTTTTTTTTCGTCCACTGAATAATCTAATTTTCAAAAATAATCGAGGCGAGTTCAACTATTTTACTGGATGATTTTTTGTACTTAACATGTATATGTTTTCCAGTTGCTTTTGCCATATATTTGTAAGTGTCCCTAGGCTAAATGCAGTAACTTCTTATGGAAGGTTTATAACGCATCATATTCCTGCCTGAAGTTTCACAAGCAGTCTTAACTTTAAAATTATTTTCTGGTCATGTTCATTATTTTTAAATTGTCATATACGTCAACAACCTGCATGTTAACCTGGCCCATACATACGTTGCACTATATCTTCATGTCTTCTAAATTTAGAAATCATCTGATCGCCTTTAACATTTATCAATAAACCCATCATAGTCGTTGTTGCTAATCGTATTTGGGTTTATGGATTGGTTTATCATATTAGCAGCCTAAAATGCGAACATAGTTTAGATAATAAGATTAAAAATTTAGGTACTATCAACTGCACTAGTAAAATAACTAAATCCCTAGGTAGCTGTTGGCTAAACAAACGTTTAAAATCAAAACTCCGTAGCCTACTAGAATTAACACTAAACGAATATTTCTGAATTGAAATTTATAATTAAATTAGGCGTCTCGGATTCTTTAACGTTATAAATTTCTGATAATTTCGAATCACCTAAAGCAACAATACCTATTTTTCCACTGACTAATCCTCAATCAACACTATAACTAGTTAAACATAATAGTTTCAGGATATCGTCATAAAGCATTGTCATGACTTGACAATCACGTAATATGATTGATAAAATTAATGAAACTATTAACAAAATCGGTCAGCAAATTGACTTATAATTATCACTAGTGTTGTTTTTCTTTTATCTTCATTCACTACAGATGATTACAGTATGTTTCTCTATCAGTTGCTCATTCAGTAAATATCTCAAAACCTTGTCAGTCTAATTGATGGTTTAGCGACACAATCATGCATGCAAATAATCAGTATAAGCAGTCGAGCAAATCTCCTGCAAACTGAAAACATCAATGTCGAATTTACCCCAACACTGACTAAGGTTCAAGCCATTATCATAGACATGAGTTGGGAGTGTACTCCCCTGGTTACAACTTATGTTCTCCCTGATAATCACATGAGCATCACTCACTATTAATCATCTTGTAAAAACTTATTTAGCTAAATACATCTTGCAGCACCACATCACCTAGTAATATGACACAGGCCTAACTGATTTCAATAACTTATAACCACTATATCTCAATTAAATCGTATTCCGCCTTATGATAAACTGCATACTTGCAACTAACTTGTATGCATCATCAGCCGCAAGTATAAATATAAATAAATAGTCTATGGCAGATCAGAACATTGAGTCTAGAGCATGTCTCTTACGAATACACTCATGTTTAACGATTTGTTCCTAGCTATCTGTCCAAAATTCATATAATTATCACTCATGTATTTAAATTTTGTTTTGATAACCATTCATGTGTATTAGTAGTATTACTAAATTCTATCACGGTCAAGTAAAAATGAGGTTGAGAAAATCTCCCCGTAACTAAATAAACCGTATCAAACTAACTGGAACACTAGTTGGAATTCTTCTCCACGGTATACTTTTGTTCCTTCAGTTAGCCTACTAATACAGATGCAATTGGAATTCAACTCATATGGACAACTTACCGGCATAATCGTTATTTGATTTCATAATTTAAACCAAAACTAATACCAATATTAACATTTCTACAATATTCATCACTTTAATATTTCTAAACACAAAATACTTACTACCTATACGTTAAGTTATTAACCAACGGCTATTAACACGCATCGTTTTATTATTATTATTATTGTAACCCCATTTTTTATAGCTCAAATAATCTTCACCCAAATTTTCATTTCAAGCGTTTTAAGCATGAAGGCAGATATTTTAAAATTATTACATGTATTTCCCGACCAGATGCTGCCGCTTTCTTTTTGATTTATCTTTCAGCTTACCAATACCCGGAGGATTCTTATTATCCTTGGTAACCTCCGGCGCGCGACGATCCCATCCAATTTGGTATCGAACCAACATCACGTTGATTCTGGTGGGAGAGTAGTGTAGTGGCATTGGACAATAGCCACACAATCCACAAAGCTGTGAACACGAGACTACTCAGAAAATAGATATTCAATATTTAACGCGGAGAAATACCTAACGATGGAGAAGGCGCGAACAATGAATTGAATGGACTGAAGTTGATCGGATGGCATGGCTCGGCCATGCAGGCGTGGTCCATCTGAATGTTACCTCATATCTTCTATTCATATTAAATATATTGTTCCTTCTCTAGCCTAACCTTGTTCTACATCATGTATTGGTATCCACCTTTTTTCCTATTCTATAAAGCTTACAAATACTAACTCCTGAAACTGTATCTGGGAGTAGTTTACTTAACGATGTCTTAATATGATTGAGATCATGTTCAAATCTTGCCTTTGGTTCAGTATCTGAAGATTCTCTTATATTATGAAAAATGACTGATCTATCAGAGAGATCTGTCTTGTCACGCAGTGAGGATTTTTCTTCTAATAATATCCCTTCCAATGCCTTGCTGACCAGCTGAGTTTTGCCTACAGCCTTTTTCTCATTATTTCTTTTTCTTCTTACCGAAGTCCATTTGTCCCCACTCAGAACATCCACAACTGGACTATATGGAACGGTGACAGTTTTATCCGGATCTTCTATTTCGACTAGAGGTGTATGACTGCCGATGTCAGTATCAAGCGACACTTCATTTCTCGTTAAAGTCAACGGGGATTTCACGTTCCCATCAACCGCAGTCAGATGTTTAATGGGTCCAGTAGCAGCACTTACTACACTGACACATTCTTCATCGTCAGTGCTCCTGTTATCAGTGCTTCCGCCATCGTTTTTCTTGCAGGCTAAAGCCAATAGTCCCATAGCCTCCTGTATTAGTACCTTTTTATCCGTACAGCAGAACATACAGAGCCAATGCGAGTTAGGCTTCGAGAATCTTTTGTAAGCCGTCGGACTTAGGCGCGTACACATTTTGTGGTACCACTTCTTACAATCGTCACACTGCATTCCCTCCTCAACGGAGAACAAACGATTTGGTTGCCCACATTTGTGAGTCTTACCAACCATTGTAGCTCGATTTAAAAGGTTTAAAAACAAAAAATGATAACAATGTGAACACAAGTGTTAGTCAAGGACTAAATAAGGTACTGAGGACAAAATTTAGCAAAAAATTTTAAACTTTAATCAAAGTACTCTTAGTTAAAGTAGACTAAGAATGCTTTTTAGTGCAATAAGTACCCAAAGCAAGTATAATCACAACAAGTACAAAAATCACTGCCCTTTTTGAAACTAGCGCGTCAAGTATTTTTAAACAAAACATTAACAGCCAAAAATGGTATTTACACAAAATGTGCGAAATTAAGAAAAAAAGCGAATAATAACAAAAACTAATTGTCAAAAAAGTTTATGTTTGCTATTTCTGCAAGGTGAACTGGGTAGTGCTTTTTTCAAAACGTCTACGTCTTCTGACTTGTTTTCGCATCATGATACCTGATGTAAGTCTATGCATTTCGTTCATTTTCTTTATAAACCGTTTATTTTAACGTGACAGAACATCAGGCAATGCTTCTGATAAGTCAGGCAGGAGACAAGGGACACAGGAACAGTTAGGGAAGTATTCGTCACTCCGTAAGATATTTCTGACCTTATCAAAAGTATTTGCCTCACGCTCGGGATGCAAGTTCTAAGGAGGCTTTTCGACTAATTTGTTCTCAGGTTGTATAATCTTTAATTTCCACTGTACAGCTTCCTACAACTGAGAACTATACATGTTCTGGCAAAGAACTCGATGTATTCGGCGAGACGATCAGAAGCGTTTGAGCAATTTCATGGTCACGAAGCCAAGTTCAACAGGTGATGCTAACATACGGTCGGTTCACAGCGGATTTTAGAGAGGAGGTGATTAATGAGAGGTTAAAACAGATGGGACGGCGAAATTAATTTAGGGACGAGCCAATGAGCAATTTCAATTATTAGCCAATCAGAAGACAGTATAAAGTAAAATATATTACAAGAAAGTAATGAATTACAGTGGATATTCTTCTTTTACATGATTTAAAAACTTGTTAAGGTTTGATAGAGGCTCAGAAGTTCTGAATTCATAATGCATATTGTATAGAAACTCGTCCATAGGGTTAGGGTTTGGGGTTAAGATTAGGGTTTAGGGTTTGGTTAAGGTTAGGGTTAGGTTAGGGTTTAGGTTTAGGGTTAGGGTGCTAACACGCGATCGGTTTACATCGGATTTTAGAGAAAAGGTGTTTCTTGACAGGCTACAACCCCAACCATAACCCTAACCTCTAAAATCCGTTGTAAACTGATCGCATGTTAGCACCCTAACCTTAACCCTAAACCCTTACCCTAGGCTAAAACCCTAACCATTAACCCTATGGACGAGTTTCTATACCAAATGTGTTATGAATTCAGAACATCCGAACCTTTATCAAACCTTAACAAGTTTTTAAATCATGTAAAAGAAGAATATCCACTGTAATTCATTACTTTCTCGTAATATATTTTTACTTTATACTGTTTTCTGATTGGCTAATAATTGTCAAGGTCGTCGCTAAATTAGAGTCTCGCCGCATTTTTGGGCAATAGGTAGTTATTCTGATCGACGTGTCATGGTAATCAAGCTAGAGTGTAGTTACCAAAACAAGCGAGGTCAACGATATCGAAGACTTACGGAACGGGGATTGATTCATCGTTGCAGACACTCTAGAAATTAGATTAGGCCTTTGAGATTGGGTTTTTTACATCTGTAAGTGACATTAATCAAGATGCTATTACCGTTTATAACCAATGTATGTATATTGACTAAGACACTAAACTATGATTCCCTATTTAGCAGACTCCGATCATCATTGCAGCTCATGTGGACGTAATTTATACGACACCCGACGCTAACCCTAACTGTCTCATCTCTGACTGCCGAGAAACATTCAGCTCAATGCTTTAAAACCGTTTTCGTCTGTCTGTAGAAGCCATTTAAAATTCCTACCACTCATTTTTAATGTAATTGCCAGTTGATAGGTACCTTCAGGCGTCTTTTAATTCTTATCCGATGTGCCCTTCATAGTGATAAGTTTATTTTATCCGTAGTTCAAAACCTTTTCAAGTAACCGTGCCTTTATTCGCTAATGTACATATCTTCGGTGAAGTAGCTATTGGTAGGTTTAAAAACAGCAATTTGTTATGAAAACTTTTGGCTTCTGTTAATTCTTTTTTGTCGGCTCTCCACTCCTACTAAAATTGGATACTGCTTCTGGATTGTAGTTGAGCTCTTGTTCATTATACTTTCTTAATCATTATTCAAAATTTTTGGCTATGGGAACTACTATCACACGTAACCTGTTTCTTCTATCTTTCTAAGACATTTTAAGCATTATATTTTGATTAAATTACCACTAATCATTCATTTCCGCCTGGTCGTTTTCAGAATTAAACGACTTTTATTCCGAGTAATAGCTCTTGGTGATACTCGATTCTCAGTGTACCGTTACTTTAATATATTTCGCAGAATTAACCGTCAAAATATCAGTGGAAACAAATCTACTTGGCATTTTATCATATTGGCCAAAGCAGACTTCAGCATATTAGATATCATTTATCCACTTTCTAATCTTTCAGACAACTGTGTTACTATGAAATATCTACACGGTACTTTTATGAGTAGTTGTATGTCAGTTCCCTCAAGTTTTTATAAATGTTAGGTTTATCACAGTTTTTACTGCTTAACATACTTCCTTTTGTTTTTAACAATGCCATAGCCATCCGAATTAGTTCATGGTAAATCAGTCGATATAGAAAAGCCTCGATATGATCAGTCCACATACATTGGCAGAGCCAAACACTTTTTTATTACAACTAATCCTTTGAACGCATTCAAAACATCTACTGAATTAGAAGAAGCAAGGACCATCGTTCATAATTATAGGTGAGTACTATGTGGTCATGTATTGCTATAAAATAATTACAGGATAGGGATTATTCAACCCGGTTTAACTGTAAAAAAGCTTTGGCAAGCAAAAAATGTGTACGACTCAGCGTTTCATCCAGACACAGGAGAAAAAATGATACTCATTGGACGCATGTCATTTCAAGTTCCTGGGAATATGTTTATAACGGGTTGTTTGCTACAGTTTTACAAGTGAGTAAATTAAACGTTTTAAAGCTTTTTAACAATAGCAAAGTATTTAGTGTGTTATTTAAGTTACATATACTAATTATTTTAGGATGTTGCTAGATTTTTAGGTTGTTCCATTTATCATTTTGGACCTTGGGTGTATGTTATGACTATAACGTCACATCAAGGCAAGTGCTGATTGAAAGCGTGCAACGAAGGTTTTAGTAACTAGAATCGGCGAATATCTAGAAGCTTGCAAACTGAATTAATTTGTATCTATGACCATATGCTTGATTCTAGTAGCGCTTACTCTTTTGTATACAGTATCTGGGCAGCGTTGCGGAGAAAAAGTGACCGAATGTATACATCCATTTTTCATTAGTTCGTTTAAACAGCTGTTTCACAAGGAGATAGATCGAAATAAACTTATGAAATTATTAGTATTTGACCACAGATGTCTTAGAAATATTGCTGGCATCTGCTGGGATCACCGGGTAAGTAATAGTGAGGTTAGACGCTGGGTATTAGGGAATGATGGTAAATCAGTTGATGAGGTTATGAATCTTCATCGACTGAGATGGTTGGGCCACGTGTTACGTATGCCTGAACACCGACTACCACGACGTGCAATGCTATCCGGTATTGGAGATGATTGGAAGAAAGTTAGGGTTGGCCAAACCAAAACGTGGCATCAGTGCTTGAAGACATTAACTTGTAGTCTGAGCCATGTTGGTAGATGCAGACTACTTGGTTGGGGTCCGCGTGACTTTCGTAACCAATGGTTGGAGACTCTTGGTGACATGGCTCAGAATCGATCACAATGGCGTAGGTGTATACACTCCCTGTCTTCCCTTAAACTAAGAGATTAAAATCACTTCATATCTTTCTTTCTACGAACCAATTCTTTCTTCTTGTACTATATCTCTATATGCAATCTTTCTCTTATATATTAACACCTTTGACCTAACCACTAATATGAATCCGGTGTTCATCTCGTTGTGCTGATGCGGTATGGCAACCTGGACCGATGCACATATGTGCCTGGTCCTACGTTGTAGCTGGCTGACTGACTGACTGAATTATTTTTTGTTGCAAAAACGTCATAGGCTTTGTTGGCTAGTGTTTCAATATGTCAAATCTCAGTTTGGTATAGAAATATTGTTAATAAAGTGACATACTACTGTGCAAAACCTTGTCGAAGATTATGAATTCGTAACTAACTGGAATTCCACCAGATTAAGATTAACGGCGTTGGATGCCGGCTCAATGGTCCAAGGGTTCGGTGTTCGCGCGCGAGATCGAAGGTCCTGGGTTCGTGGCTGCTCACTTCCCATACTAGGATAAAACGGTCAGGTTTTCAATAGTGGTCTAACATTGATCGATTCATGATTTCCGTGAAACTAAACGATCTCTACGACCCTATACTTGCAAATTGAAACAGTTGAAATGTCCTACAATACTGTTTGTTTTATGTCTGCAGAACTTCATAGCAGTTAGTTTCATCAATCCACCCGATGAAAAAAGCTGACAAATCTGTTAAAATGTTTTCGGTCTGTCAGCTGTAGAATGTAATGGGTTTATTTATCTATCTTATTACTTCATTTAGGTCTACACCGGCTGTCATATTTTGGCAATGGTTTAACCAAACATTCAATGCCGTTGTAAATTATACTAATCGTAGTGGTGACGCACCTATTTCATTAACGTAAGTTTTATTGATCGTTTTTAAGCAAATCTATCAGTGTTTGTCATGAGTGCTTTCTGAAAATCACTCCGTCTATTTTACACATTATTAACTGTGGGAGGATCCTATTCTGATCCTTTTATTTCTAATATACTGACTTAAAATACGTATTTGAAAGCATACACCACTTAGGATTTGAACGTGATAGTTTGTAGTTGATTACCGCCCAGTCAAAATATACTTGTCCATTTGAATAGTAATTGCGGTTTTTCTTCGTGCTGTTCTATATAATTGGGTTAGCATTATGGTAGATTTCTGATGTCAATAGTAGATCATGTCGAGTTGTTCTATAGGTATCACTTAATCAAACTTCAAAAGAAATTTAGGTTCCATTATTTATACTTATTTATGTTAACGTAATTAACCAGGTATATCTGTTCCATGGGTTATATTAGTATTCTATGGAATTAATTGATTGTCTTTGTCCATCTTTTCTTGGTGATATCATCTAATAATCTAAGAACTAATGTACTGTATCGTTATGACGTTGGTTCAACGAATTTGTTTGGCAGACGTCAATCAGCACCAAGAACTAAAGTCTACAAATTGTTACTACAGTATGATCGATAAAAAAACTTCCTACAATAAATTGATATATTAATGGTGTTTAAAAAACAATGCTAAATTTTTACTTTACAGAGTAGTATTGAGAGTGATGTTCGAATGCTCCTTGACTTACGGTATTATCTAACACTAGAATGCCTGAAATGCCTAGAATAGATTTTCGAGGTTCCAAACATACTTATAAACTCAACTTTGTATACTCTTTTCACTACAGTAGTTGTCTAACTTATATTAGAGATATATAAGTGATAGAAACATATTTGTTTTATTTCATGCTTGCAACTATGTGAAGAAATTTAAACAGTTTAATTAAATTTGAATACAATGTGTAAATTTTCTGTATTTACACAATTAATGATAAATGTGACGAACTGACGTCAAACAAAATGAAATACCCATAGTTTCCAGGGTCAAGTTTAGTAACTTGGAGTTATTCTGGAATGACAGGGAAGTGATTAGATTTAAAGCCTTGATGCAATGAAAGTTGGGCATAATAATGCGTTTTTTTAAATGTATAAAACATGTTGAGTTTTTCCTGCGTTATTTGAAATATACATCTTTAAGCTGTCTACTCAAATAATTTTATTTTCACCATGAGTAAAAGTTGCGACTACTTTCAGAAATTTTAGCATATGGTTACTTTTAACAGTAAAGTCTTGTCACCTTTATCACCACTATCTGAAATTTACAATAAAAATCCTGAATTTTAGTTATTTTCTGAGTATAAATAATGATATTTCAGTGGTAATGGGGATACAAAGTTTTATCCATTGTTTTGCCTACTACATCAGTCGGTTATATTTAATCACCACCTTTCCAGACATCTACTTCTGGTTAATCTGAAATTAGGTCGGTAAAAAGCTTAGAGTCAGCCGTGTTCAAACATAGCGTCGATATTGGTGGGAGTTGACTCCTTAGTTGGGTCTCGCACAATATCCGTAATCAATGACTGAAAATGCTAGTCGACACAGATTACTTCGATGCATTCCCTTTGTTCCTATCAGTTACAAGTTAAATGTCATTTCGAACCTTCCATCTTAAATGTGATGGCTTTTTTTATAAAATGATATCAGCTGAAAATCGGTTGAAAACAACAAAACCATTGGTTGATCGTTTCGTTTCACTCTTAGACTCCTTAACAAGATCGAATCCGGAAAGTTCATATTCTACTATTACTTTAGACCCTAATCCAACTACCTGTGTTTTCGATTGCACTTGGTTCACAAAAAAGCGCAATCATCATCCAGTGTCGTCACTCGGTGGTTATCAACTTCACTGTTGAAACGGTTGACTTTACTGTTCGTGGCTGTCCTGTAGAATGTTAAGAAACCCACTTCAAAGCTATTGAATAGTAACTAAACCTTAGTCATTTAGTTAAGAAAGTTTTAAAGATTTACTCAGCAAGACTTTTTATCATGGACAGACATTTTCTATCTCCTATTTCAGAAAACGTTAACAAATGATAGGTGTGTTAATCTATTCAAATCGTATTATGAGTGGTTTGCAAAGTCCATTGAAGTCACCGACTAACCTTACTTTCGCTATTAATAAAAGCTAAGATGTACTAAACTGCTTTATCGTCCTACTACTGGACTCCTCGAGATCACTTATCCACAATCCCACCAGTGACAGAACCCAGTGCATTCAGTTCTCACGGTTGTGGCCGATGGAGTTCAACTATGTCATGCATGAAGCGGATACCTACCAATAGTATTGGAAGACAAATGCATAAACCTATCTCGTTCTAGTTATAGAATTTATGACTATATTTAGGACTAGGACTATGTATAACTCCTACCAACTGATCCGTACTCTGTTACATAATTAATTCATCAAAAGTTTACCAAAATCTAAAACTTAAACAGCAAAAACCGATCTGTGTGTATATCTGTTTGTCTAGATTTCATCCAGACTCTGATTATAATTTTTTCTAAAAAATAACGAGATTTAACGGGTAGAAAAATTATCTGACCATTGGCTATTCCATAGACATTTCCTTAATGAACAGAATTATGATAATCCTTTTCTTTATGATCAATGACTTAGAGTTTTTGTTACATTTTATTGTCATTGGTTATTAAAAACTGGATATTCATTGGTAGAAAAGAAATGAGTAGATAGATGGTAGGAGTCCATTTTTGTCGTATTTAATCAGTAACACATACCATTCATAACCTTTCTAGTCAGTTAAACAAAAATCCTCAATACCATAACCCGTAGCTCTTGAATGCTCACTCATTTTAACAGGTCACAAAAAATATTATTACGCGAAACATACGATTTCCCAGTATGGGGTTGTGGAGGTTATTAAGTTTTTGATTTAGATCATGAATCGATTGATGTCAGAGTACCATTGAAGACGTGGAAGCATTGGATGGCCGTTTCGTCCTATTGTGGGACTCCTAAGCAGTGCGCATTCACGACCCGCTCGCGGGATTTGAATCCAGGGCTTTCGGTCTTGCGCGCGAACGCTTCATGATCTCAGCCAAAAACTTAATAATCTCCACAACTCCATACTGATAATTACCATGTGCTTACTAGTGAACAGCTTCGTGAGGGGATTCTCGAAGTTCTAGTGAGAAGCCGTGACCAGTGAATCTAATCCATGTCAAGTAGAGACAGGTATCTACCTCAGTGCATACGATTTCTATTTTTGTTTTATTGAGATTAATTGAAAATTCATTGATATTTGTCACCAAACGAAATAATTACATGAAAGTTAAGTAATTTTTATTGTTTCTTTGTAATACCCACTATTTTGGATAAAAAGAAGTATAACTTTACTGAACGCATATATCAATTTACAACGTTTTTTAGTACAGTTTTCTATTTGTTATATTACAGTTTTGTAAATCCATAAATTCCATAGATTGGATTTCATAATGTTAAACAAACTAAATAGTCTTCATTCTATTTAATGAAAATATATAGCTTAGATTATTGAAATATCTTTCTCTCCTATATAGTAGAAATACCACATTTTCATTATTTTCATTATATTTGTGTATGGGCTGTGATACTGTCCGGGTGCCCAAACCGAAGCAGGTGGCCTTCTTAGGAGGCCACACCCCGAGCCTTTGACCTAAAGATCTAACCCACAAGGCAGTGGAGCATCGTGAGCAGATGCAGTCCCATTGTAGCCGGTGACCAACGATTGGTTCATACGCTATGTGCACCATTGGTTTGGGATCCGGTTAAAGCATCGGACATCCGCTTTTCGTCCTCTCAATTTCGTAAACAACACCCCTGCCACGAGAAGGCAGTGAGTAGGACTTCCCTGGCAGAGGCTGTATACGCGTGGTCATGTGAGAGTATTTCGAGAGGGAGGGCGGACCCACCCCAATCTCGGCCATACCAGGACATAGTAGAAATACCACACTCAAATTTTTTAACAAATTCCTCACAAATAAAAAAACAACTTCGATAATGAAATAAGAAGACAAAGATTATCAGAACTATGCGATAATATATTAGCGCAATACTTTTCGAACAATCTGATCATACATTACTTGTTATGAACATTTATATATATAAAAGAATAAATAGTCACCTAGACTAGAAATGGAAGGTAAGAGGAGACAAGGATAATAATAAGAGTAATAATAATAATAATAATGTAAACGCAATTTGAAACCTAAGCGCTTTGGTGAGAGACTACTATATTTCTTGTTAATCTCTTGAAAAATAATAAAGTTGTATTAAATAGAGTATCATTCCAAACCTACCTAGAAAAAGAACAACAGTGAGTTTTTATTTGAACAACCAAACATTTTGTAATAAATAAATGTAATTCTTCGTCTAACGTTTCATTTGTAATCAATTTTAACTATGCATGTCCATTTACTTACTTACGCCTGTTATTCCACATGGAGGAGCATAGGTGGCCACTCACCAATATTCTATGTGTGTACGGTTAGCCTTGATTTTAATTAAAAATTTTGTCTACTACATATTAATTTCAAATAAAATTGTCTTGAAAAAAACTTTTAATTCGATTGTTAGTATGTTTTTTTTACGCTACCAGGTCAAACAATACAACTTTTATTCTTTTTCAACATAAAAGGTGTATACATAGATTGGTTCTTATAAATAATAAAATGTTGACAAGTTTAAGTGTTTAGTATTATACAACACAATTGACCCAGTAAACAATTTTTTTATTTGATATTTCCATTGCTAGTAAATATCGAAAATTTGATCCTGTCTAGTTTGTAAACTTGAATATAGTATATATATATATATATAGTGATAATTAGCCCAGTGATTGAATTTACAATCGATGGATCACTGAGTAGTAAGCAGTATCATACTTACTTAGTCTTTCAGTGCTTATCGAATTTTATTCATCAAGTTATGATGTAATTATCAGTTTGAGTAAATTGATGATACCATATGCA